CAGCGAGGTTCCAGAAAGCATGCGGGCGCAATGTCTGGGGGCAGATTTCCGGGCCTGCAGCTGTCGAAGAGCCTGAGTGAGCTCGTTGCGAGTGATGTTGTACCGGAATGTAGGCGAAGCCTGATCAAGTGTGGGCTCATCACCGCTGGCACCATTGACACCCTTCCAGAAGTCAAGCATGACCTGTGTTTCCTCGCGCGGGGTGAGGAGCTTGCCCGAGGCCCTGCGCAGCTGTGCTCGCCTTCGCGGTTGCTTGGGCGCATGTCTGCGCAGGATGTCAAAGATGGCAGATGTGCAACCTGCTCGTTCGTGGGCCTGGGCTTCCGAGAGCAGCGCATCCAGTCGTTGCCTGCGAAGCTGTCTGCTGCGTTTCTGCACTAGCTTATGCATCCGGTGGAACTGAAACCAATGTCGCCATGCCTGAACAGCGTTGCGCAGCAGAGTGCGGTTCGTGAAGTTGCCCGGGGACAGCTGCCGCATGCAACGATAATGCTCCCACATCTATCTGATGGCGCCTACGTGATCTGGGTTTGCGGCTGGCGCCTGCAAGCAGCTGGGCCGCTTGATCTGAAAAACCTGTTTGCCGGCATCAAGCAGCACTTTGTTGAGAGCATTAGGCTGGTAGGCATCGACCTTGGCCAGCGTCGCCGCAACCCTCTGCTGAAACTGCTCTGCTAGCTCCGGGGCTTCCTTGATGGCCTGTGAGAGGAGTCTGCATTTCCATGCCGGCCAATCAGCAGCTGCACTAGCAGAAGGTGGCGCAGTATGGTAGGGCCGCAGCGTGAAGTCCACCCGAACCGGAAGATGCCGTCCGCCTTGTCGCCATCTGCCCACCTCAAAGTTTCGGAGCAAAGTAGCTTTGCGCAGCCTGTGCTTCCGCCTGCGAAGGAAGACAAAGTCAACGAAAGAGCGCCTGGCCTCGGCATATCCTTCGTGTATGTAGGTGTAGGAGTCGACCCTGCCGAAGGTGTTGACAGCAATGCAATCAAAGTCGGACTGGATCTCTTCTAGGGCGTCGGCATCCGCTGAAGGCTGCGACTTGCGCAGCATGCCCGAACCTGTAAAGGGGAGGCGCTTCGTAATGGTGGTGTTGAAGTCTCCACACAATGCCAGCGTGCTGCCTTGTGGAATCTGGCCCAGGGTGGCTCTCACCTTGTTCCAAATGATCGCCCGTTTGGCCTCGACGGCGGACTGTGTGCTCTGCGAGCCGCATGCATGTTGATACACGTTGACAATCTCAATCCATCCGAGTCCCTTGCCAAACACTTTGATGTGCAACACGTGGCCGGGTACTGCATGATTGAAACGGAGGCTCTGCATGTTAAAAGCACTTGCCCTCAAGAGAACCATCACTCCTGCATGCNNTGCTCTCCGATCCCGCTGTTGATGCATTGCCAGCCCCTTGTACTGAAATCCATGTGACTGCGAAACCACGTTTCTTGCAAGCACACTATGTGGTATGGTTGTGTCTCAAGCCATGTAAAAAGCTCATCCTGTTGGGTGCTGAGCCCCCCGCAGTTCCAAGAAAAGAGCGCCAATGAAGACTCCGAACGGGTAGGTGCGCTTGGCTCGGCTCTTGACTCTGACCTGCGTTTCGAAGATGAGGCTTGCTGCTGATTGTTTGCATAGGCGCCGAGGAGGTCGCCTTCATCCATGAGGCGTCCCCTGTAGTTGGTGAAGCCATGTCGTCTCGCCCTCAAAATCGCTCGCTTGTAGGAGCGTTTTCTAGCACTAGTGAAACCGTGAGGTTGGCCTACGTCGCCACTTTTCCCAGGTGAGTGAAGCTCGGGTAGATCACAAAGCAACCTGGTTTCGAGGCCCTGGCGAAGGGTACCCCAACCCTCGCTTCTGCTGAGATCAAGAAGACGACCAAAGTATTCAAGTCCCTCATGAATCCCAGCCTCCGGAATTGGGACCGGAGCGGCCACAACCATGTTCTCAATGTCTGCTGTTTCTGCACTGCATGCTTGGTCATGAAAATCCATGTGCATGGTGCAATGAAAAGCGTGAAATCGAAGAAATTGAAGCACCAATCCAACCAAAATAATGAAAAGCATGCGAAGTCTCGCTGACT